GGAAGAGTAACCAAAGTTTTTTACTCAAAATACTAGTACTCTGCTGTCTAAAAACTACAATATGAGAAACACAATTTTATTACAATAGCAACTCAAGCAAATGTACTTGAGTAAATGTAACTGAGTATCCAGCTCCGGCATGAGTTTACATTTATGACTTTACGTTCAGTTTTGATGTGGTGTGTGCGTTTTTCATCCATTTCAATGCTGTTAAACACAGGAGGCAAACTTAAGTGTCCTAAAGGCTGAATAATAATACGTGACCTTTGACCTCTGTGTACTGACCTGCAGCTGCTGGGGACTCTGTGCTTTGTGCGGAGGTGTGTGGTGATGGGCAGGTGCTGCACAGGGCCTGAAGAGAGACCATGGCCGTCACATCTCTAATGCTGCAGGTGTCACACTGAACAGTACGGGGGTGTGCTGTATCACGTCCTGTTGTTTCACATATGAACTGAAAGTAACAGCATCATTTTATAAACATTTATCTTGGGATGTCTGGATTCATTCATTTTAAGTGTGTATAACATTCCTATTGAAAATAAAATGAGCTACATGATACCCAGCAAATTCAAGAGTGTTAATTCAACTCATATATTGTTCATTTTAACATGTTTAAGGTCATATGGGGTTCACACTAAAATGAGTTAAAACTACACTTTCCAAAGTGTACAAGGTTCATCACTGGTAAAGTGATGTAACCACACTCCTCAGAGTTGAATTTGCCACCGATTAAGATTAGATTTTTTTACACTAGTGTACACTGAAAAACTAATAACTCTATATTACTATGTTTTAACACGTTATGAAGTAGAAATAGTATGTAGTATTCCTCATGTTACACTATTCAATAGCAACTCTTCCTTCACTAAATACAGAGTAAATGCTGTGGTCATTCGAGTTCATAATCCCTTTTATAAATGCAAAATAATGAAAACCACCACAAAAATCCATTTCAACTTAACTTGTATTAAAACAAAGCACATAATACAATCAACACAATTTAAACAAGTCTTATGACACAATCATGTTTTTGCATTAATTCTTAAAAAACCTTTCAGCAGGTTTTCAACACATTTGTAGTGTGAACAAACACAAATATACAGAAAAACTGCAAATGCAATTGTTTTAATTGAACAAGGCAGCACGAATCGGTATCAAAATCACTACAGTGGAGTGTGATAGGTTACTTCCGGCATGTGATAGGTTAATTCCGGCAGCGTGTTTTTGTTTTTTTTTTTTGCTTTTTTTTTTTTTTTTGCTGTGCTTTTTTGGATGGAAAAAAATAATAATAATAAAAATAAAAGTCATAATGAAGAAGAAATAACACATAAGTCGCGCCGTACTATAAATCACACTTTTTGGGGAAACGTATTTTATCAAATCAGAGACCAAGAACACACAGTTAATCTTGAAAGGCAAGTTATAGTAATAACAATAGAATAGAGAACAGGCCATTAACGTAAGATATTAAGTGATTCAGATAGCTATAGCATAAACAACAAAACAGCACAAATTTACCTAAATCCACTGAATTTTTCACCCTCGGTGTCACTCCGAGACAAGTCCGCCACGTCCAGAGGTAAATTATTTTAATAGATCTATGAGTAAACAGAGCGCCGCTTCCTCGTGTGTAGCTGCCTTCAGACTCAGCACCAGTTCCAGTTAGAATTCTTCCAGCCTTTCTGAATCCAGACACGATGGTTTCGGTCGTCAGTGAAGTTCAGCCTTTATCCATCCAATGACTTCCAGGAAAGTTGCATGGCGCACCATCCCCGTTACCTTGAAGCTGTCTTTAGCCAGTCCCTCACAAGTTTCTCGCTCACTCCAAACTTTCTTTCTGTTACTCGATGATGTTTTTCAGTTTTCAGTGGTACAGGAGGAACAGGAGCAGCAGATACTGACACACAAGACTAGAGCCTCTCGCCACTTAGCTTTGCTAAAGTAGCCATTTAGCTAGTGGATTTACTATTTATCTATCGACTACTGTATTTAGTACTTTGTGCAACTTTTGTTAGAAATTCTAAGTTTGGAAATACACCGTGACTTTTTCCGAGCCTGGAAACAGTGTAAATTTGGTAAGTGGAGCTTTTGAGTTTGTAATTGAGTAGCTCTGCTCTACGAGACTGTCGGAGACGGACTGTCCGCAGACGTGTGCGTCATGACGTAAGCGCGGACAGCGCTCCTGTTGCCTAGCGCACCTAAGCGCGTGTTTTGAATGTTGTGAATTCTGCAACTTTGGCTCCGGTCAAACCTGTGCACTAGAGAATTATTTTCGACGATTTCTTAAGAAAGAAAACATCACTTTTGGATATTTTTGAGGAGATTTCTTTTGACCACCCCCTGACTCGGACTAGGATACGTCTGTGAGGAAAAAGGTGAGATTTGTGTGTTTCTCTGTTCACCTTAGTCCCGATGGGATTTGACCATGGAAGTACAATCGTACATATGACTTTATTATTCCAAAAAACAACCACTAGTTAAGCTCAAATGTCTTTTGATCAAAGTCTAGATCATGTTTAGGCGACGTTTACTTAAAGAAATGTGTGCTCTTTTGCTTCTGACCTTCTTTACATGAGCTCAAATGAAAAGCATTAACATCAGGTAACAGCACTGAGCATAACTACAGCCTAATAGTGACTATTGTGAGCATATAGAAGGAGAAAAGTCTTAAACATGGACTTTTAGGCTTCTATAGTTCCTGTTTTAAGGTGCACCTGATTTTCTGAGACTGGACCAAATGAAGATGGCACATTCCTTTAAGTATCTCCAGTCCACTGTAATGTTCCTCTCAAATGTGCAGTCCACAGCCTAATGTTAGAGACCAAGTCTAGTCAGGGCTGACAAGCCTTTTATTTCAGTACAACCTCTCATTGCCTGTTGGCTTTGTAACATTCACTACTGACCATATAGAAACAGTCTATGATTTGAATGTGTAGTAAGAATACAGTTATTATTATGTCATAACATGTCAGTGTAAAAGGACAAACATGAGTGAAGAGAGGTGAAATAGTATTAGGGCGTAAAGGAGCCACACTTTGGGGAGTGTTAAAGAACTGAACATTGCCGGCTCTGCGCTGGTAAACAACTATGGGGACTAATAAAGCAGGACAGGTCCAGTTATTTACACTATCAAAGTATTTCAAATCCCTCAAATGTCACTTTTAGTGAGATATGCTTCAGCTTTGTCATAGAAAGTTTCAAGACCCAACAAATGCTCAATGTACGACTATCAGGCCATTCCCAGGGACACCAGCTATACCTATTCTGATATTTACCCCAAAGAATTCAGGCACCAATTGAAATGTAACTTTCCTCAAATGTACAGCTTGTCTCCATTTACGATAACAGCAGATCAGGCCAAAACTACAAAGTCTGAGCTTCACAACGAGTCCAGACATTTCTTTGTGCTCCAAAGGCTTCAGATTGAGTTTGAATTGACTATTTTTTTCAGTGTATATTTAAAAGAAAATCAGTTCATCTCTTAACACAGTGGCTTTTATTTTACAAAGTTGTAATAACTATACACTGTATACAAGTGTTTCTTGAGCTTTAGACAAACTGTACTTGTCAAACTGCAGTGTGAATCGTGGCCTTCTTGTACACTGAGTTTCAACCTTCAGGTTCTCCACTCTGGCTGTGCTCTACATGGATACTTCCATGTACAGTACATGGATACTTCCATGTACAGTACATGGATACTTCCATGTACAGTACATGGTTACTTCCATGTACAGTACATGGATACTTCCATGTACAGTACATGGGTACTTCCATGTACAGTACATGGATACTTCCATGTACAGTACATGGGTACTTCCATGTACAGTACATGGATACTTCCATGTACAGTACATGGGTACTTCCATGTACAGTACATGGATACTTCCATGTACAGTACAGGGGTACTTCCATGTACAGTACATGGATACTTCATGGTGCTGAACTGTATGGTAGCTGTTGGCATGTTAGCAGTGGTGTGTGACACATTGTGTTCTTCTCCACAGATCTGTGTGATCCTTGGCCCAGTGCTCCTTCAGGCATCTAGACTCCTACAGGACCCCGTCTCTGACCCTAAGTTTACACACAGATACACACACACACTCACACACAAGCACTCACACACACTGACACATTCACACACTCTCACAAGCGCACTCTGCCGCTGTAGCTATGGCCTCCCCTTCTAGGCTCCCCCTGAAGCGCTCCTCTTCTTCTGAGTTCACCTCTGCTCCGGCCAAGCTTCCTAAGATGTGCTCCTCATCTCCTGATGCACCTCCTGCTACGCCCCTCCCTCCTGCTCTTGCCAGGCTGTTCCCTCCTCCTCGTGCGGAGTCCTCCTCTGCTGCTCAGCCCCTCCCTCCGTCGTTAAGGTCCTCTGCGAAGCTCCTCCCTCTTCCTCCTGCTGAGGTCCTCTTTGCTCCTCGTCCTACGCCCTCGTCTGTTCATCCTTCTCCCTCCACGACTGCTCGTCCGGCGCCCTCCTCGTCTGCTCCTCGTCCTACGCCCTCCTCGTCCGTTCGTCTGACGCCCTCCTCGTCCGTTCGTCTGACGCCCTCCTCGTCCGTTCGTCTGACGCCCTCCTCGTCCGCTCGTCCGACGCCGTCCTCGTCCGCTCGTCCGACGCCCTCCTCGTCTGCTCCTCGTCCGACGCCCTCCTCGTCCGCTCGTCCGACGCCCTCCTCGTCCGCTCGTCCGACGCCCTCTTCGTCTGCTCCTCGTCCGACGCCCTCGTCCGCTCGTCCGACTCCCCCTCGTCCGCTCGTCCGACTCCCCCCTCGTCCGCTCGTCCGACTCCCCCCTCATCCGCTCCTCCGAGGTCCTCGTCCACTCGTCCGACTCTCCCCTCATCCGCTCGTCCGACTCCCTCCTCGTCCGCTCGTCCGACTCCCCCCTCATCCGCTCCTCCGAGGTCCTCGTCCACTCGTCCGACTCCCCCCTCGTCCGCTCGTCCGACTCCCCCCTCATCCGCTCCTCCGAGGTCCTCATCCGCTCGTCCGACTCCCCCCTCGTCCGCTCGTCCTACACCCTCCTCGTCTATCCCTCGTCCTCCTCCTTCCAGTGGCCTCCGGATCATTCCTCTCCCTGACTCCATGCTCTCCGGCTTCATGGCTCCTCGTTACGCTCACCAGGATCGGAAGCGTCGCTCTTCACCTCAGCGCACTCATCCTGCTAAAGTTACTAAACTTGCCTCCTCTTCTCCGCAGGTCCCTGAGCCATCACCTGGACCTAAGGTGGAGCAGACGGAGGTCGAGCTGCAGGAGCGCGGGCTGGACAGGAGAGACGGGAAAAGGTACGTTAAGCACAGAGGCCAATTCCAGCTGAAAAACACAAGTATTCTTTCATTTTTAACAAGCAACTCTTTGTGTCTCTGTGTTGGTTTGAAGAAAAAGGAGAAGATCTGGGAGTCAAAGACCACCTCCCACCTAAGTTGGACGTATCCTTTGTATATAACATGTAAATAGTGTGGCAAACTAAAGAAGTTCAAATTTAATATTGTGTTCTTTTGTAAATAGTGTGTGATTGTGTGAAAGAAAAACAAAAAAACTAACAAAAAAAACTTTACAATTTAGTGTGGTGTTATTTTTCTGTTGTAAATAGTGTGTTCTTGTGTGAAACAAAAACAAAACAAAAAACACAAAAAAAAGAGTTTAAGTTTAGTGTGGTGTTATTATTACCATGTTGTAAATATTGAAAATGCCCCTAAAACCAGGACTAAATCAGGACTAATCCAGGACTAAACCCCCCAACATACAGAAATGGTTAGGTAAGTTTAGTGTGGTTTATTGTGATTCTTTTTGTGTTGTAAAGACAGTGGTTCATTTGTCTTTGTGCAAACTGCTCACCTCTATGAAAAAGTCTCGCTCTATGTTACAGGAAGTGTCTGCGGAGCTGAGGAGGGACTATCATGTGACCGAAGAGAGGCGCCATCCACCAACCAGCAAGAAATGTTCCCTGATGTTCACCTTATCCCAGGGCAACCGTCACCAGAGCAACACCTTCAAAAACCAAGACTAAACAAGAACTAAACCTCAGGTAACTCAGGACTAAACCAGCACCAAACTACGACTAAACCAGAACTAAACCCAGGACTAATCCAGAATTAAAACCAGGACTAAACCCAGACAGAGCCAGGACTAGCCCGGACTAACCTGGGACTAAACCAGACCTAAATTAGGACCTAATATCTGACTAAACCAGGACTATCTCAGAACTAAACCCAGGACTCATCCAGGACTAAACCCAGGACTAAACCCAGGACTAAACCCCCCAATATACAGAAATGGTTAGATCAGTTTAGTGTGGTTTATTGTCATTCTTTTTGTGTTGTAAGGACAGTGGTTTATTTCTTTTTGTGCAAACTGCTCACCTCTATGAAAAAGTCTCTCTCTATGTTACAGGAAGTGTCTGCGGAGCTCCTTCGCCCTCGATCTGAACATGAAAAGCTCAGACATCGACCTCTTGTGCGCCGGACCAGGATTTGTGCCCCGCCAAGTCTTCTTCACTTCTTTTGTGGAGAAATTACAGGCCGAACAAGCAGTCCAAATCCTTCAAGTAAGTCCCCCATAATAACTATACTAACTAGGTGTGGATTTTCATTTTATTGTGTAAAGTCTCATCATGTTTTATATGTTTAAGGTTATCGAGGATGCTTTTGTTCCTGTCATCAAGCTGGTTGTTGCTGGGATTGAGGTAATGAAAAAATACATTTTTAAGATTTACTTTGGTCATGTCTATATTATTTGTAGACACACAACGTCGCAAAAAAATGTGTTATTAATTCTTCTTTCACTCCTTAATTGAATTGCACTGTTGTAAATTACATGTAACATTCTGGGTATTTTTTATAGGACTGGTTACATCGAGGCACAGCTCAGACACTTGGTGGGCATCTTGAAGAGGAACCCCAGCATCCTCGAGGCCGGTCCCAGTCTCCAGACCTTTCCTGAAAAGTACATACACGTTTTCTGCATCTCATTGTTTTTAGTTTAGCTCAACAAAAACATTTCTGCTAATGCTGTAAACATAGAGTACACATTTGTAGGGCAGTAAACTAGTGTCGGTTTGGAAAGGGTGTTGTTATAATTACAGTTGTTTAAGTATTATTAAATTATATTTAAAGTAGTTTTTATAGTATTCTTTATGTTATTTTTTGACATTTTAGTACACCTCTCTTTGTCCCCTTTAGTCCTTCAGGCACTGTCAAAATGAACAGCTCCTTTGAACCCACGTTAAATGAAAAAAATATATATATTTTTCAGGAATGGACTTAGCACAACGTGGGTCATAGGCATTAAACTCAGCCCCAACACCAAGAGTCTGAACCTGAACCCTGACGTCCTGACCTTCGTCTAGTCTGGTAAGTGTATATCTACTGCGAAATACTGCACGGTGTTTTTACGTAGTGATATTGAGAGTTTTGTTGTGTTGTGTTTTTGCAGCGTACGCAAAGGCTCAACGTTTTTAGACCGAGGGCATGCAGATCGAGGCGGAGTATGCCAATGCCCAAACTTATAAACTCGTCATTCCCGGATTAGGAGAGAGACAAGAGGAGTATGATGCGGTCGCGACGGAGAGACGATCGGCCCCCAAGCGCCCCCACACCCCAGACTCTGAACCCGAGGCCAAGAGAGGAAAACAGGTACACAAACATTCTACTTTGTGATTGTTAATACGTATCCATTTTTAAACATAGATTTGAACTGTTATTACTAAGGATGATGTAACAATAATCGAAATATCGTGATATTGTATCGTCAAAAGTCTCACAATAATATTGTGGACCATCGCAATATATATCGAATTACAAGTTTCTTTGTAATTCGATGTGTTGTTATGGTGCAGCAACAGCTTAAAAACAGACAGAACTACATCAACCATGATCCTTTGCTCTGTTTTAGTTCAATCTACATGATAAAACAACTGTTATTAAGCATGTTTAAATCTTAATTATGTGGAATATGACAGAAAAGTAGCATATTCACAATTTCGCTAGCTTCTGCAAAATATCACAATAAATATCGTACCGTGAGATGCATATCATGAAAATATCGTATCGAGAGATTTGGATATCGTCACAACCCTAGTTCTTATGCTATTATTACTGTATATGCAACTATATATGCCTCCCAGTCAGAGTGCTGAATACAGTAAATGTGATTTAAAAATATGTTTTGTTTGTAGAGCACATCTCCGGTCGGACAAGCCATTCAAACCTTTCAACCTAGACCCAGGATTATTAAGAAGGCCACCAAAGTCCACAGGTAAGAACCTTTTACTCATCTCAAGTGCATATGTTTATGGGAAAATGTTTGAAAATTAGACTTACATTTAACTTATAAAGAAATATACTGACATTCTCTAGGCTCACACAGCACTGAGAGCCGGCCTAATACAAAGTGTTGCATATTTTATTATTATATATTATTATTTATTTATTATATATCATTATTGTATTATATATTAAAGTGTGCATATTTATGTTAGAAGAGTAAATGTAATATTTCCCCATTTTTATCTTTTTCAGGAAAATCTAAACCACCGTCTGGTTGGTGGTTTGGTCAGTGGCACTGGCTAATTATTGCATTTAAAAAAAACAAAAACTCCCACCCGCCATGATTGTATATTATACCCTATATCACAACAATAAAACTCAAAAACAGTATTCACCGACTTCTGCTCATTTTATTTCCTTTCAAATTTATATTACATTTCAGTATAGGTTACATTTATTGATATGTTCAGCAAAATAACCCATCCATCCATCCATTTTCGTCCGCTTATCCGGAGCCGGGTCGCGGGGGGAGCAGCCTAAGCAGGGACTCCCAGACTTCCTTCACCCCAGACACGTCCTCCAGCTCCTCCGGGGGGACCCCGAGGCGTTCCCAGGCCAGCCGAGAGACATAGTCCCTCCAGCGTGTCCTGGGTCTTCCCCGGGGCCTCCTCCCGGCGGGACATGCCCGGAACACCTCCCGAGGGAGGCGCCCAGGAGGCATCCGGAACAGATGCCCGAGCCACCTCAACTGGCTCCTCTCGACTAATAACTAAAATAATTAAATGTTCACATTACTAGTTACAAATGTATTCATTATTTGTTTTTATTTTGAGATTGTGCCAAGACAAAAAAGAATCATTTGCATATTGCATATATCAAGGTCTGCCACTTGTTTGTGTCTATGGAGATAGCCTGGAATGTTCCTCTTTATGGCATTGAACTTAGGTCGTATAGTACACAAAATGCTGATACCTCATTCATTCACATGTTTGAGTAACCCTTTATTATTAGTCTCTCTACATCTCCAAAATGGCTCAAAATGCTCTGTTCCTCCTTGTGATGTCAATAAGTTTTCAAGTTAACAACTACCTTTTACCTTTACTTCAGTAGAGATGGGCGATTTCAGGGCTGAAATCACCCAAATTCCCTGTATTACTACATGGCATCATAAGGTGTTTTCTGTTTGAGAGAAGAACTCAGCCTAAAAATGCAGGGTTTGTGTGTTAAACATGTGTGAATGAAACAAAACTCCGGGTCTGTTTGTGATAAAGAAATTAGAAATTAGAACACAGATCTGAAAACAGCTATAATAATGTAGTGAACGTTTTAATTACTTATATCCAAATTTCAGATTCTAAATGTATTTAAACCAGGAGTCACCAAACTTTTTTCTCTGGGGGCCACATTATGGCTCCTGACTGTGATGGGGGTCGGGGTCGGGTTGGTCGTATAACAGAATAGTTTGACCCTGACGACGCAGATTATATTCTTTGAAAACCTCCACACTTTCTTTACATATCAGACAAACTGCA